TAAATTATGTAATAATTCTATTAAATAAATGGGCATAAACAAACAACATATAATACATTAACATAGATACTGAATAATATTACATTTTGCTTGTTATGTTCAAAAAGAACTAGAAATGGGCATGTAATAAAAAAACTGTAAAGCTATAATTTTTTGTAATTTATATATGGTCAGTCTCATTCATGAATTCTTGGGACAATGATCATAAAACATCACGTGTGCATGTAATAGTTCTTATTTCCATTAAAAAATTCATACAAAACATATTTGAAATTTGTCATGGAAAGTTTGGAAGAACAGAGAATTTTATATTAAATTGAGAAAAAATTCAACAGAAGTATATACATTATGATAAAGCAAGCTTTATAATGTGAAACTCTATCAAAATGAGAATATTTCAAATGGCATAAACAATTCAAAACTGAAAAATTTCTGTAACCTGTGATCAATATATAAATGACCCCAAACTGCAAGAAAAGTGTAAAATCATTGTTTACCTAGTAAATTATAGATATGTAATCAGTAATGGAAGTGCTACTGCAATCAGTTTATTCACATAATCTAGTTACTAATGACTTTTTCTTTACCCAAAGTCAAAAAATAATTTTAAAAAGAAAATGGCTTGAGTCAACAGAATTTATACAATATGTATCAAACAAATTTTATGATCCTCCAAAAAAAAAAAAAAGCTAAATTTTTAAATGTTTTCTGAACTGAAGAAATTGTTGGAAAAGTGTATTAAGCTCAGGATGATTCTAAAGTTTATTAAATTCTGATATACATTTTGATTTTTTGATCCATTCTTGGAACTTTTTATGCATGCCTTATATGTTGCTATTTTACTGTTTAAATGATATATTGATATATTACTATGATATTTCAAAAAGTTCTTTCATCAGATCCATGAAAAAAGGCAAATATTTACATTTTTTTGTGAATCTGGAGACAAAATTTACATTATGTTATGAAGTAAAATCAATTTTATATAAATTTGTGTGTTAATGAAAAATTAAACACTTAATTTTGATTGTAAAGCACAGTATTAATATCTTCATTATCTTCTACTCACTCAAGCCTCTCAACTCTGAAAATCTAACATTTTGGATATATTTTCAGAAAAAAGGAAGGAAAAAATCATTGTTACATAAAAGTTAAAAAGAAAAACAAAATAAATTACTACAAAAAGTACTAACAATTTGGTACTTTTCAGTTAATGGGACACCAGCTGATACATACAGCAATGGTAAGATTAAAGCTCTGAATCCAATTCTGGAGGTGGGTTTCACACCACCACCAGAATTGTTGACCCTTCATGAGATATTCATCTTCAAAGGTCAGTTTTTTAACACGTATCAGTCTATCCCCTTTTTTGGGGATAGACTGATACGTGTTAAAAAGGGGTAGACATGAGCCAAGGTGCTTGCTATCACTCGTACCTCAGCACCTAGATAAGGACAAGCCTCCACACCTCCCTAAAACTATATAACATCAAGTACTCCATGAACAGTCAAGTAGGCTCTCGAAGCTGGTACAGTCGTGTGGGCTAAATTGTTAAATGCAATAGTCTTTTGCAATAGTCTTATCACATCCCGTTAACCAAAATGAACCAACAAGTTTTTAAATTATCTCAATTGAATCAAATAGAAGTTTTAAAAGACTTCATATTAATGAAACTACTGTATCATAAAAAGCTGAAGTTATCTAAAGAAATATCTTAGGAATTCTATATATTTTCCTCTGTATTGAAATACCATAACCAATAAAGAGCATGAAAAGAAGAATATCTAATTATATGCAATGAAATAACTAGAACAATAACTGAAACAAGCAATTGTAAAAATAAATTAAAAAAACTAATCGAATAATACAATGAAGAGAAATATTGATATTCTTGATGAGACTAAACTTAAGAGAATATTTGAGATGAGAAACAATAGTTAATGCTTAAGTTCCCAGATGAATGCTCTTGTTATTAAAAAAAAAATATTTTATAATGTAAGAAGTGATTAACTAATAAAAATTTATTTGTATTCTTAGATTTTTGAATTATCCAAAAACATTACTAAATATTTAGTCAAGTAGCTGATAAAGATATATTAGATATATCATAAAGTAAATAATTTTTAGTTTATAATAATAATAATATTAGTAATGTAATTTAAATTATCTGAATACAATATTTTAAATATCAGACACTATGAGAAAATTAACTGATTTATTTGAGTTCAGTTGTATGTATATTTGGCTTTGATTTTAGTTTTCTAACATTTTAATTCTTTAATATTTAATTGAGCTTAATCGAGTTTTCCTTATTCACAAAACTCATTTAAAACAAACATAGGAAAACATTAAATTCACAAATAAAATACATGAAAAGATAATGCCAAGCAAGTGATGCCTACCATTTATACACACATATATATATGTATAATGTAATGAAATCGTAATTATGCATATCTATAGAACAGTGCCGGCCTGAGGCAAGTTTTAGGATGGAGCAAGATCCTATTATGGCACCCCCCTTGGTTGCCCCTTTAATTTCCTTTACCACTGAGGCACCCCCTAGGACTTAGCGCCTGGAGCGGCTGCTCCGTTTGCCCTATGGTATAGAATAGCGGCTCTGCTATAGAATCATACAAATGATTAATGCAGAACTTATAATTTTCTGTAATTATAAATATTGAAATGCTAATAATGTTGCATTTAAGTTAAGATTAATTTCTGAATTTAAAACTTTAACTTACTAAAAAGAAATAAAACAGATATAAAATTTAGCAATGGAATATTACAATTATATTTAATATGCATCTTTTATAAATAAAATTCTTTAAAATATTTGAAGTAAATAATAATTTTCATTTTAAACATTAGTATATTAATAATACTTTTACTAATACTTATTTTATTTGTATATTTTATTCTATTAATAAATGTACCAAGACCTTGAGATAACAAGAATAAGCAATCAAATCAAATTGCAAGGATTTCAAATAATCTAACCTGTGATTACACTCAATTATTAAGGATCGTTGGAGATAAATGGGTCAGAAAACTATTGTTCGATTTGAATACTATACTTACAACTTAAAATACAGATATTTTTAGTTATTTATATAATAAAATTTTAAATCATCACCATTGATTATTTTGAAATTTCATTTTTTGATTAAAAATTAATATAAACTAGAAACAATTTTTTTTTCAAATCAAAAACTTCTGAAGGCCAAAATATATTTATATTTAAAACACTAAACTTAAGAAATTCATAAATTTTGCAGAAATATTTTATTAAAAAAATATGTCACATTAAAATTATAATTACTGATACAGTCCTTCATAAAAATCATAATTATAGATTCATATACAGAAATATACAGTAAATATTCATATATAAATATATAAATTTTTATATGAAAATATTACACAAAACATTTATCATCTTAAATTTACCAAATTTCTAAAACTTTCAGACTTATTTGTAGTTACGTGGGTAAAAAGTTTAATCTACCAGATTACCAAATATGAGAGGCAGATTTCATCAAACTAATAGCTAGTCTGATGAAATCCAGTTTTAGATATTTGGAAATAATTTTATTTTATACTTTATACTAAAATATTCAACAATAACAACAACAGAATACCTATCATATTATAATATGTGAATCATAAGCTATTTATATAAACAACTTTTAATGTTTCGGTGATATTTTAAATATTAACACATCATTTTTCTTTAAAACATTTTAAATTTTAACTCAACTTTTATAATATGTAATAATTTTGCATTTTAGAGAATTGCTAAAATTTAAAATTACTTAGCAAAAATAGTATTATCATCTTGTATCTAACTGTACTTATGTTTAAAAGTGTATCATGTGTCCATTACATATAGCTTGTGCAACATTTTATAATTGAAGAAATATAACTAACTATTTAATAAACTGGATATACATTAAGAATACACAACCAAAATACCAAACTCCAGCATATTAAGTTACCAGAATGGTGGTGAACCCTTCCCTTTTGCAAGAAAATTATTTTCGACATCGCATAACAAATACTTTTAATTCATCTACCGCTATCACGTAAACGACATTCTTCAATCGACGGCTTTTTCTATTTTTTTGACCGTACGTTTCTTACGCTTCGTTCGATTATAGAACCGATCTAAACCAACGACGACCATTTAAAACGATAGATAATATTCGTTCCGACATTAAAGTATCTTTTACACGCTACATTTTAGTGTTTCGGTTACGTATTCTGGAAGATAAACATAATCAGTTTCCATCACTGTAATAAATAATATTTTTTACATATAAAAAGTAGACACAACAGCGAACACATGATATAATAGTAGGAAAAATGCTACTGTCTAATATCTTTAATTCACACTTTATCCAAAAGACTGATAAGTTATAACAAAAGACTTTGATAATAATAATAATGATGATAATTTTTCTACTTAATATTTGTACGTACATAATTATTATTACTCATGTTACACCTTTTTCATATTAATGCAGACAACAATGACTTATATATATTTACTAGTAATTAGACATGACAATTTTATAAAATACCAAACAGCATTGAGACGAAAGAAAGAAAAACAACCAAACGACGCCGAGACATTTAAATTACATGCACCATTTAAAAAGTTGTCGAAACACAGCAAAAAATTTATGACGTTATTGCTCAAGCACACTTGTTTATGCATTTATAAGCTATTTTATTAATAATCTGGGAGATAACTTAGAAGTCATTTTGATTACACGGTCTCATCAATTTATTTAATCTCTACACATTTAAAACCTCACTGGCTCAGAAATTTTAAATGTTTTAGTATAAAAATTGTGTAGAAAATGTAGAACTGACGTAATCACAATAAAATCGAGCGAATTTTTTCTAATAAAACGTGAATTTCGTGCAGTTGGAGTGTGTGAATGGGAAAAGCATTGACCTTAAAAGTATTTAAATGGTGTAAAGTGTATACTTACTTCGGCTAATTGTTCGTCCTGTTCTTGATCGTTGATATTCAAGCCATAAATTCCCGAATAAGCCATCCAACATTCGACAAAAAAATGAAGAAAAAAAAAACAAAAACAAAACACCAAACTTTCTCTTCCAATTCACCAAATTAATAAGGGAAAAAAATATTCTACAGACCACAAAAAAGCACTAATTTAACTTATTATCGACGGTAATCGACTTAATTACTCTTTAACAGTTCGAAACCATCCGAATATTTATTTACTAACGATAAAATTATTAATGTTTTTCCTTCTTCGTACCAAAACAGTTGACGCCATCAGCATTCACGTGACTTACGCATAAATGACGTCTTCACTGTTGCCGGATATTGAATAACGTTTTATTACTAAATTTTTATTTATTTTAACAATATTTAATGTTTTAGCGTTAATTTATTACTTTTAATTATTTGTAGTATAATATTACTAAATTAAATTAATGTTGTATTCTGTTTAATTAATTTATCTTTTTCGTCGTGGAGGATTGATGACGTGTAAAAATTGCTTTGTCTCTAATGGAACGATGTAAAATAACATACAGAAAACAATAATCTGTCTTTTTTAAATTATACAAAATAAATTTTTTCATTCGAAATAAATTCAAGCTTTCGGTAATTGGCATCATGAGTAGTTCACGTGAACTACTCATGATGGGACCTTCCTCCGCACCAAGCTAACCCGGGCGGGGTCCCCTCTCAAATTCTTTGCATGTAGGCAGAATGGAACCAGGACAAAGAACCTGCTCCATTTTGGTTTACTCAGTCTTATTTTTATATCGCTTTTGTTTTCGACACTGTTGTACATAAAAAACACGTAGTTAATCAACAATTAACTTTATTCCCTCTCGATACAACCGACTGGGGTGACGACTACACAAGAACTCTCCCCGACACCCGAAAGGTATGTTGGAATTTTCACCCCTGACCCGACACCCAGATCAAGTTACTACAGATAAGTCACAACGTTACAACACTTATATCCAACGGCAGAATTCGTTGCGCCGCTCTTGGAAAGGACACCTCCCAGCCTCATCCACCGCATCGAGACAGTCCTAAACGCGGCCCTCCGGACCACACCTCCAGTGTCCTCCAGAGTACATTACTTCCCTGTATTCAGAGACGGGATTCATTCCCCTTGCACACCAATTGCGACTGACGACATTCTGCCACGTCCTCACTCACCTCTCCAGAGGGACTTTTAGCCCTCTCCAAACTATTTAAAACGAAGCCAGGGCTGGCTTCTATCGGTGGCGGCAACATCAACAGTCTTATATTACGCGAGCACTACCCCTTATCTAGCGGGCAAATTTGTCTCAAACCCGTATTTACCGCTAAGCGTCTACCCCTCTGGACATTTCCCAGCTCCTCTCCATCATCTACTTAGATCTATTTTCCACCGGATCTTGTCTACACCCAGCTTTATTCACGAAGCAACTACCCGCCAGTGGCAAAATTGGGCGCTTATCGGCACGGACGCACCGAAATCACCGCTCCGTAACGCCAAAGGGATGGTTCTCCTTTCCGACAACTTTTCGGAAGGGAAAACCATCCCTATGGCGTTGCAGAGACTTTTATTTTCATCCGCCAAACTGGTCGTTTTCCTTATCGTAGCCGATCAAGGGGCACAGAGTCGGAGAAAATAGCAGCATCGGCTGAAATCTCCATATCCAAAACACAAACAGAAGAAGAAAGCCACGTAGCTGGTGTCCAACCAATAGACGAAGTAATAGTATAGTAGAAGTAATAGTAGATTTTAACTGACGAACGGATTTTGTGATTAGCAATGATAGAAAGTGAGCAGCGATACGAGCACTTGTTTTATTCGTTTCCAATGTACGATTACTTCTTGATTGTAGTGGCTGTTTTAACAACAATTTCTGCGATTTATTCCTTCTTCAGGTTAACAACAAAGAAAGATATACAAGAATAATTTGTTATAAATTCATTCTGAGATAGAACAATATTGAAAAATAAAAGAATGGCTGGTGAGAGAAAGTCCGATTTCGTTTTCTTCCTGATCATTTACTTTGTTTTTTTCCGGTAGAGAATACGAAGTAATGGTTCTAAATTAAACAAAGTTTCCAAGGTAAATACAAAATCGAATTGTTAATTTCTTGTAAATTATAGATGACCTTCTACACTTTCTGGTTACACTTCATTGGCATTTAATTGCATATTGTATGAGGAAAATGTGAAAAATTGTATTTGGATTCATTACAAGACAGGTTTTGCAGCTTACATAAAGTGTCATGCCTTCTCTGAACAGACTCGGATCTCTGACAATAATAGAAAGTTAATAGCGATACGAGCAATTGTTCTATTCGTTTCCGATGTACGACTACTTTTTGATCGCAGTGGGTGTTTCAACAATTTCTGCAATTTATTCCTTCTTCAGGTTTATATATTTGCACTTTCTACTTCGATTTTTTCACGATTTCCGTAACGAATACGGAGAATGGGCCGTTATCACCGGCGGAAATGCCGGCATCGGACGGAGTTACGCTTTGCAATTGGCAGAAAAAGGTATGAACGTAATCATCGTCGGCAGAGACCAACAAACTCTGCGAAGTACGGCCGAAGAAATCGAGAGCACTTATGGAAATCGATGCCTTTACATCCGAGCCGACTTGTCGGAAGAGGGTGCCGTACGTGACGTGGTACAGGAATTACAAGGCAAAGACGTAGGATTATTCATCCACAATGCTGGTTTTTTAGGCAATTTACCTTGTCTTTTCTTAGACGAAACGACGGAAAACGTGTTAAAAATAATCACGTTGCAAGTAACTTCTGTGGTGCAGTTAACTCGTTGCGTTCTACCGTGGATGCTAACTAAGGAGAATGGAGCCATGATATTCGTTTCCTCCATCGCTTCCATCTTCCCTGTATCACGTTTAAATGTCTACTCGGCTTCTAAAGCATTTTGCACCTTCTTTTCCAGAAGTGTTTCCGCAGAACGTCTCGGTAAAGGACTGGACATTCAGACGCTTATTCCGTATTACGTGTCCACCAAATTCATCAAATTCAAAAAAATCGACGTGATAATTCCTACCAGCGATCGTTACGTGAGGGATGCCATTCGAACTTTAGGAATTTCCAGTTACACTAGTGGATATTGGTTACACGAGATTTTAAAATTCTTTATTGAAATTCGTCTCACAATGCTATGGAAATGGTTTACGTTAAAATCGATGCTCAGAATAAAGAAACGTTTGCAAGGTATAATTATGTTTCGTGAGAAATAATTTAATAGTAATTCTCTCTTCTCAACATTTCAAGCAATTCTGCTCTACAGATTTATGTAAATGCTTAAGAATAAATGTATCAGTAAGTAAAAGAAGTTTGTAAACATTTTTATAAAGTTTGCAACAATTATTATAGTCCAAAAACCTTTATATTCGATCATGAATAAAAATTAGTAAATATAAAATTTCATTTACATAAATATTTTGATAATTTTAGTAGTAAAAAATGCGTAATAAAACTTTAATTCTAATTATAAAATGTATTATTGTAAGTTCAGTTTTGTTATCGTAAAAATAAATACATTGTGAATACAATTTGCTTTTTTTCTTCTTCATGCCTTATCCAGTCATTCCTGACTTCGGCAAGAACTCGGCGCAGGTGATGCGGTCAAGGTGAGTCTTGTGGAAGTTAGTACCAGAGTTGTACCCCCGTTACCAGCTCTGGGTAGAAGTGTTACGCGAGGGAAATAATACTTTCTGGGAGATATTTTAAGGGAAACTGGCCCTTATTCAGAGTGAAGATAACCCGGAAAACTCCACGTGGCTAGCCCCCATCCGAACTCCCAGTGTTCAGGGAACGGAACCGCTTAGCCACTGGTGGGCCTGCTGTTTTTCTTCTTCCATAAGATATTGTTAAAATTGAAATATTACGAAGCAATATTTAAGGAAATACCTAGAATAATACAAGAAAAGTTTTCACTGCAACTCATCTGAATTGTCAGAAAAATAAACACGATTGCGAAAAATTTCTATTAGATCAAATTTACGATATAATCCTTTTTCCAATAACTTTCCTTGACCAATAAATTTCGCTGATAACCTTCAATTAAAATAAATGCCGAATAATTGATAGACCCGGTTAGTAATAGTTGTTTGAACAGTTTCTACTTGAAAAACTTTTATAATCACACGGAGATGTGAAAGTAATTTGATACAGAATAAAATTACTTTCAGGGAAAAATGTTTGAATTGAAATGACGTGACTTCCATTCAATAAAGCTGAAGAACATGTTTGGCTATTATCTTGTTTTGGTATAGATGAATTTAAAGTAATATGCATACCTGACATTTTAGTTCTTTCTCTAGCTTTGCTGTTAGTTATTTAATTACAAGTGAAAATAAAGATTGGCTTATCAGTGAAAAGTTTTATTATTCGTTAAAATTACTCCCGTATTTATCATTCAGAGATTGTTTTCTTCCGAAAAACCTGGTTACGTTGCAGTGTTTAAATTTTACGAATTATTTCTTCACGTAAAACGTTTAGGAAAAAAGTCAATGTCAATAAACAAGGTTATTGAAGTTGGGCAAAGTCAAGCCAGAGATGTGTTTTGAGACTTCATTCTTTTTAATAACTTAATTTTAATTGTGTGAAATACTTTAAAAGGCAAACAAAATTTTTGAATAATTGTATATAAGGAGCATTGATGCTATTAAATCTTAGAGGTGGCCATATGTCCTATTTTGAGGGGGATCAAACTATGATATTTAATGGTAATTGGCATTTACAATATTTTTAAAACTGAACACATGTACCTTCAAAATTAAGCCTTTTTATAATAATAATAATATTTGTGTTAATATGGCTTAATATTTCTTCAACATATTTTTTGCCTTCCAATTCAAATTTATTACACAAACATTTTAAAAAGTTTTCAATAATTAAATACTGGAGAAAAACTGAAGTATGTTTATCAGAAATTTATTTAAATTTAAAATATTGTTTGATCTACATTTTACAATATTTAAACAGTTACCCAATAAAGAAACATAACAAAAAACCACAGATATTCAATGTTTACCAGCTGAATTCTTATTATAAAGTGAGAATTCTATAGAAAAATAATTAAAACTATGTATTAGTATAAGAATAGGTGTCTTTTAATTTATAAACGTTAATAGAATATCCAGTTTCACTTTTTACTGCCGCTATTAAATTATTCGGATGTGACTGAGGACAATGAATTCGATGGACAAAACGAGAATCTCTAATTCTGTAATATTTATTACAAATTACTAGCCATTTAGTTATAGAACCAGTTGAAGCTGCAAACAAATAATACAAATCAGAATACTTAAAAAGCCATGCCAACATAATAATATACAATGCAGAAGAATACTTACTACTAATGTACACGTCAGAAAAATCTGGTAGTACGCTGAAATCGGTTATTTCGTCCCGAGACGTGTACGAATCGAATTCTCTTTTCATAAATCTTACATCGATTAACGTAACCTACAAATAATAAATTAGTAAACATTCCGATTGACTAAAGATAAAATGGTGCAACTTACAGCTTGTCTGCTTCGAAATACAACTGAATTGAGACCGGAATATTCCATTCCTAGAATAATTTCATCCGTAAAATTATAGACTCTCTGCGATCTTGGACTTTTTATATCACTTAATACGACATTTCCCATTGTTTCAAGATGAATGAGAACGTCTTTCATTATACCATTACCAAATCGAGGAATGGGTTGGTGTACTATGTATGGTAAACCCACATTATCAGATGTAATTCTTCGAATTACAGACTTCATCTACACAAAATTAAACATTGTTAAATTATATATTATAACAGTATTAAAAAGAAATCATTTAAGAAAGAATCTCACCATGTAATCCCAGATGATGCATTCATTATCACTCTTCATAGTAACTATGTTGTTAGGATCGCAAGGATTCCAGTCACAATTAACAATAGTATCAACATCATCATTCTAAATTAATAAAAGAAAAATTAACCATTTATACATAAAACGTCTAAATATTTTAACAAATAAATTCAACTACCTCAAGGAGTTTATCTACAAGCATTAATCTTCCTTCATCCAGATCAAAAAATTTGATATTATTATCCGTCTTAACTCCAATTTGTGGATACATTTCATTTTCTGGTGCTTTAATAATACGAAATGGTATACCTGGTAAATCCTTATGAGACGAATAACCAATTGTATCGCCTACCAAATTTAGAACTTTCATCTATAAACAAAAAACAATATGATAAATAAAATGCCATTAAGATACTCCCTAGTTTTGAAAATCCTTACTTGATTTACGTCTCTTCCTAAACAATGGAATATAATCTTTGTATCGTATTCTGTTTTAACAGAACACATATTACTGCTTAAACAGAGTGTCTTGATACTAGACATACTATCCAACATCAATTCTTCTGGTAACATTTTAAACGTAACTGCTCAATTTTTCCCTTGCAAAATGGTTTTCAAACCTGTTTCTATTATACATAAACAGTAATAATTAACACAAACGAAAATTCTCGATTTAGAAATTTTAAACATAAATTGAGTTCGTAAGAAACAATACAGGTCGTGTTAAACAACGAATAATTGTTAACTGTTATCGTAATTAACTGCTACACGTATTAGCTGTTTGCAGTTATTATACCGCTAATTTGCATAAAAATCTCATTATAAAAACACGAACAAGTCACTTGTACTTGATCAAAATTTTAAATTTATTCTTATTAAAAAAAAACAATATAACAATACATTTGTTGTGTCTATCATAACTGTAGAATTCATATCTCGAATGTGACGTAGAATGACTATCGAATGACGTTTTTTTTTTTTCTCTCAATTAGATTGGTTAATTTCTCTGTGACGATACATTAAGGTTTTTAAAAGTGAATTTAACCTTCTTGGTAATATACTTAAAATTGCGTGTGGAGCGATCTGTTGTAATATTTTAAAAACTTTTTATATTTTTAACTACAGTAGACTCCCCTATAACACTGTAGATAATTCCGTGTTGTATGAATTTCGTGTTGTACGAGTCACTTAGATTTTATAAATACGTGTGCCGGGCTGTGAACGGCTTACGTATTTGTAAAATTTAAGTGACTCGTACAACATGAAATTCATATAACACGGAATTATCTACAGTGTTATAGGGGAGTTTACTGTATTATAAAATGACAAAAAGCTTGATTTTCAGGGTAGCGATTGGATTTATAAAAAGATTATAAATGCTAATAACCAGTAAAATCGTCATTAAGTCGGATCCTAGTGGAGATACACACGACCTCCATTATTTCCCCCACCCACTCGACCTTTAATTAACTACCAAAATTTAACAGCATCGATCCTCCTAATACCCAAACTTCCCTGCAAAATTTCAGAAATTTTCGACAAAAAGCATGGGAGTTACTGAGCTTCAAACCGGGTGAACAAAATCGTGCCGCATACGTACATACAGAAATTACCCCCGAAATTGTTTGCATTTCTCGACGTTTCAAGATGTTCTAAGTCCAAAAATGTAAAATTCTAGGGGGGTCATATTTTGACTCATAGCTAAACTTTCCCTCTGTTAATATATAACATCATAGGAGGTGGTGAAGGGCCGCACTCATAGGTATAGCCCGGGAACCAGAAAAGGAAGGAAGAAGTAAAGTTTGTATAAGAAGAGGGTAAGGTGAAGGTGAAAAGAAGTGAGATAGGATAGTTGAAAGTTGTTGATGGATCCATGGGCGCCTGCATCGCATTTAATTGGATTGAAAACAAAGTGCATAATATTTACAAAGATGAGCATACAATTACAGTAGTACATGTTTTTGTGGCGCGATAATTGAGAACTATTTTACCGATACGCGTACATAATACAAGCTTGTTGAGCTGACAGAAGCGTGTACAATAAATTTTTCAGGTATCGTTCATGGTACTAACATAAGAATGGGATGCTTTTAATTGGCTAGAAAAGAGAATAATGTCACCTAAACAGGCCAAAACAATTACGATGTGACAATACTGTTCGTAAACCTGCAGTTGGCACCCATGGGTACAGTTACACGCACAGTAGCCCTTAACAGAAAACACGTTACACCTGACAAACAACACGACCTGTAAAGTCTAGCTTTTAATTAAAGTTTAATTAAAGTCTAGTTTAAAATTTAGGATGAGTGCCTAGGGAGCACTTACAATGTTACCAAAGAAGACAAAGTATTTACAGTCGACCCCCTATGACACGGTAGATACGTTCCGTTTTATGATGAATCAATTTTGTACGAGTCCTTGCCAATCACAGCCCGACACGTGTGAAGTTTACGGACTACGGCTGTTTGAAAGGTTTTCTTCCATAAAATTAATCGATTCCTACACTAATTCGACTCAACATTTCCAAAACATGTATAATTTTTTGGGAATAATCCGTATAAACTATACTATAAACAAAAAATTGTAGGATTACTTACCGAGTGTGCACCGTTCGACATTGCCATTGCTTAAGCTTGTTTTCGTCTCGGAGCAGCGCACCAAACGGCGGCCGCGATTTCTGATAAATTATTTTTCTGCGAAAAATTCGTTGAATTTTGGAGACAATATAATTAATATAAATAATTTTTATCGCCGTTGAATAAGAAATGTTTCTTTCACAAGAAATGTATAAAATTACAGTACTGTCTTAGACTTACGGTACCTAATTTACATACTGTACAGACGATAGTTCGCCTAAACTCTTAGTAGCGTAGCGCCAGGCGGCAGAAAATATATATATAATTATAATAAAGTTACAGTAAATTAAGTTAATATATAATTATATATATACA